CCAGATAACTAACACAAGTTAAAAAAACTTCAATCAGAATAATATTTTTATTTATAAAATAAGTAGATAAATTATAATAAAATTTAAGTTTATTTAATATTAAATATATTTTTTGAACACCCTGTATACATCGGTGTCCAAATTTCTGTACAGCTAGTTTAAGATACACGCTATATCAATATATTGTGGGCCTATGCAAAATGTACAATGCCTTTTGTACCATTTAGGACCCAATGTATGACTTATTATTATTATTGATTGCTTTAATCCCGCGGGTTTGTGGGATTGATATTTTGGTGCGGGATTGCATTCTCTAATCAAGAAGGCCGAAATCGACAAAATATCAACAGACAACTTTTAATCCGCATTAAAAGGCTTACACTATTTCTCTAACAAAAGAAAAAAAGTCAGTGGCGCACGTTTTTTTTAGAAAAATATTCCAGTGATAATCCACATGCATGTCACTGGTGAATATATCGACACTTTTTCAGCATTAAAATATGTCGCATTTATAGTAATTTTTACCCTCAAAATTTCATTGGAATCACTAAAAGTATTTGAAAGAAATTTATAATAATTCGAAAAAAATTGATACTTTAACACCCTGTAGCCACGAAACAAAGCAGAATCGGACCTATGTTGATTTGAAAAATAAATCTTATTTTTAAGTGGGCAATCTCCCCGCGATAGATGGCACATTTTTTTTGAAACACCCTGTATAAATTTACAAAAAAATAGGGATATAATATCCAAAAAAATCCTGGGGTGTTTCGCCACTTGAACTTCAAAAGTTTGAACCTGTCAATTTTTTTTTATTAGAAAACGTATAAAGTTATTGGGCTAATACAAAACAATCTGTTCTATTCAAACATTTACAAAAAAGACAAATATACATAAAAGAAAAAAATATATTTTATCAGTAACACATTAAAAATGATAGTTTTACTTCAGTTTTAACAGAATGAATTTAAAATTTGATTGTGTAGATAAAACTTTTTTTGTACAAAAAACAATGTTACATAAAACATCTATTAACAATTTGCATTATCCATAATAAAATCGTACAGTTAAAAATAGACTTCGACGTACAACAAATTTTTAAAAAATAAATTTTGGGTCCGAGAAACAACTTTTTAATAATAATTACTTTTATAAGATTAGTTAAAAATATCAGAAACATAACAAAAAATAAACTTACAAGCTAACGCCTACTTTTATAACTTAATTTTGTCGGCAATAAAAAAATAGGTTTAAAATTAATAAAAAAAAGGGATCAAAACGACAATCGATCACATTTTTTTAAGTTATAAAACGTAGGGCTTCGCAATAATTACATCAGACCTTGTTACACACATTTTCCAGAAATAAAAAATAAAAAAAACAAAGAGAAAAATATAGTTCTATTATTCCAAATATAATTTATCACAGATAACTCTTGTAAAAATTTGAAAAGTTTATACCTTTAAAGGACTATATTTTTGTTTAAAAAAAGAATAGCCGTCATATTTCCACTAACGCGTTCAGTTCAGTTCAGTTCAGGTAAAGGTTAAATATAGTTAGTGGTCCGCTAATTTAGAATTAAGGATTGTTGATATTAAAACCTTACATTATAAGAAGATAATAGAATAGAAAGATATGACAACATTCAATACCGCCAGAAGCTAACGAATGATCGAAAAAAAAACGGCGTCAAAGACGGCTGGGGAATGACACTAGATAATAATTTTGGCGAGGTCAATCTCTAGACCAGGTATATACAGGGTGGCGCACCTCATTCGCCTCGGTTGATTATACGAAAACCGAAAGATGTAGAAACAAAATATTTTATGGGTATATGTGGAGAGGCAATGTGGGGGCACAATTTAAAATTATTTTGAAATGTACAGGGTGTTTCAGAACTAAGATCCATACCAAAGTTATATTTTTTCTTATGGAACACCCGGTATTTTATTTCATTTTTGGATTCCTGGGCTCAAAAAAGGCATTTATTATAAGGGTTAAATATGTTTAAAATCTTTGATTTTTGAGATATTTAAAGATATTTAAATTTGCAAGCTTCTATAGAATAGATTATTAACACCCTGTATATTACTTTTCAAAATTAATTCTTGTGCTGAATTTAAAGATAGAGAAATAAAATTTACTGGAAAATGTTATTGCTTCCTTAAATCTATACAGGGGTATCAAAAATTGCTGATCAATTTTATGGATTTATTTTACATAGAAACTTCGTTATTTCAAATACAACACCCTGTATTTTTTATAATAAATCGAAGCAGATTCAAATGCTCTTTCAAACTATATTAGGGTTTCCTATACCTATCTTTCCTATACCTTCTTTTGTTTTATTCAAAATCTGAGCTAGATAGTCATTCCTAAGCAGTCTTTGACTCCGTTTTTTTCGATCGATCGGCGATATAAACGATCCATATAAACAACGGCAGGCGGTAATTGCTGTCCTCCTTTCACGCCGTTGAGCAGCTCTGAACTGTTCAAGAACGCGATACTCTCACTCCATTCAATTGAGTCATAAAGTTCCAGAACTGTTCCGCGCCATATGGAGGCACCAGGCTATCGCGCACCGCTCCTTTCAGAACCGTTCTCGAGTAGCCCCAGGGCGTAAAGCCCGGAACTCGAAGTTCGCGAATGGAGGACAGCAAATGTTATTAGTGCTAAACGCTTGATATGACACTTTAACTGTCAAACTTCCATAACGCCTCCATTATCGTTGCCATATCTCTCTAACAAATGCATTACAAAGACTTTCTAAAACACTTAATCTAAATCCTAGATGGCATAGTAGAAGACAGAAAATTGTGATGTTTTCTTCAACGTGACTATAATTTAACGACTTACTAAGTGTCAATTAAAAATTCATTTTTTTTTCATCTAAAGAAGTATTTATATTTTATTCAATTAATTTAATGCTTTTCATTTGTATAATCCAAATAGAAATTAAGTGAATCTCACCTCTTTAAGGTCTGTTTGATCATATCACATTGCGCTGAAGCGATTTTAAGTGAAATATACAGGGTATCTCGATATTCCCTGGACATAGAACAACTACCTATTTTTTTGAATCAAAATAAGTTCATTGGACACCAAATGTTCATTTTCTGTAACACCAAAGGTTCCAGCCTAAAGTCTATACAGGCTTGGTCTTTCTAAATCGGTAATCGGTATTATCTTAATATACAAGACAAATATAACGATACCTAACCAGTTGACGCAGAGAGAGAGACACAAAGAAATACAGGGTTGCCAGTTCCTACCTGTGGCAGGCATAATGAAAGATTAGCAAGTTAAAAATAAAAATGAAGTTAAAAAATTACTAATTAAATTTTGACATAACATGATTTATAAAACTCTCGTTATAATACCATTTGAAGAGATTTTGTTATTTATTTAGAAGACATACTATTTAATATAGTACGCAGCCACTGAATTTTATAATTTTTCATAAAACAATATATTTTAAATATATTTTTTGCTCTTAGTATCATAATCATCATACATTTATCCCGATTTAATAGTACGAGAGCTAGCAACGTCTGGAAAACAAGTATTTTAAGAAAGCTCGCTGTTTGATGACTGCGCATTGAAAGAAGATCTTGACTACTGCGCATTGAAAAAAGATCCTATATTTTTATTCAGTCGTTTAAATTCTAGTATTGAATATAAATCGAACAATTCTCCATAGTGCGGCGCGAAAACGTGCCGCCTATAAAGCGAGAAGTCCCGAGTTCAATACCGGCTTGAGGTAAACTTTTTTTTATTTTATTTTCGTTTATATTCTGATAGTAAAGTATTAAGTAATTCTGGTGATTAAAAAAACAATTATTTAATACTTTACTATCAGAATATAAACGAAAATAATAGTTATTTTTTATACAAGACGATAAAATTGTATTTTATCGTTGACTGAAAAGATTAATTCATGAGCGATGAAATCGCGAGTGAATTAATTTCGGGAGACGATAATGCAATTTTATCGTCGTGTATAAAACAATATTTTTAGCGAGTTACGTTTTAAAAATTATTCAGAAATTATTATTTCAAGGAATTTAATACGAGTAGAAAAAATATTGTGCTGGGTTGGCGCTGGTTTCTATGTAATTTGACAAATAAATAAAGCTGCTTCCAGAGAGAAACTAATAACTAACGTGAGAGGGCTTGTGGAATAGGGCATTTCGTAGACAAGTTTATTTTGTCATCGCGCATCCCAGACGCGCATAGCGTTTAGGCGGTCAAAAAAGGAAGTTTTCAACTTTGCAAGTTAAACATTTGACAGGATTAATTAGATTGTCAGTAGTTTTTTCTATTTCTTAGCTCTAGAAGGAGATAACGAAAATCTGTTGATAAACGGAGCAAATCGGAGTAATAAATTGTTTTTGACTGAATGTGCCTGTTCTTTTAGCTTGTCAGAAGAGAAGATTATGGTCATTATTGATTATTTCAGATTCCACGATTATTCGGCATTTTTGTAATTTTTGTTTTGTGGTTGAGACCCAGACAAAACGTTTCCTTTAAAGGTAAGTTTTATCTCGGTAATTATTTTAACATACCTAATAGTAATAGTGAGTGCACATAATAATCGTACATTGCTAATTTATTTTTTTTTTATTTAAAACATCACATTCTTTTCTGATACCTATGGAACGACTAGGTATTATACCTGGTATTATTTCCAGTAATACAAATTATTTTCTTTAACTGCTAGGTTCTTGTTATAGAATAAAGACTATCAAAAACATTGAATGCCTACGGGATACCTACTGATACTCTGTGCGAGCTCCCAACCGTGCTTCCCTGTTCACTCCCAACCAAGTTAGATAAAAAAGATACTGAAGATTGCAGCCTTGAGTTGGAGTATGGCAAGGAGTATGGAGTTAAATAAATTATTATGTTCCTACACAGTATTTTATTTATAGGTTTTAATGCTTTAAAGTCTAATAATAAATTTTCGTTGTCAACAAAATAATCAGACTCGCACGCTGTTCCAGAGAGCCTAGCAAAAGATATATTAATCAGCCAGCTTTCTTAAAATACTTTCTCGAAAACGTTGCTAGCTTTTAGACTATAACGCCCGTGAACGTTTCAATTCCATCGAAACATCAAAGCGTTATCAAAAGCGACAGACATGACATTCGGAAGTACTCAAATACAAGTATAGAAACCGCATTCAAACTAACTTGCTACCTCCAAACGCACAATCCGTTCAAGTCTTCAAAATCCTCAGACTACGTTCTAAGAATATAACAAAGACCGTATATATTCGTAATTGACCGCCAGTATCGACGGTTAATGGAAACATGACGACGAAGCAAGACAAGAAGTGTTAATTAATATTACCATTATAACCCTGCTGTATCAGTATACTGCTCTCGTCCATCAAGGCTTCCCCTGTTTCGATAATACCAAAATCCCCGTCCAACTGGAACCCCTTCTCTTGCACGATCGGATCCGCCGCTATCTCGTAACTCTGGATAAACTTGATGCTCTCCACCGCGTTGTCAGTGCGAATCGGCTGACCGTTCAGTAGACAGTCCGTGTTCACTTGATAGACAAACGGCTCGCCGTTGGTCAGAGGCGTCGAAGGATACGATCGGGAACTGCTCTGGAACGCCTTATTATCCGGCACATCCACCTTAAGGCTCTGTGTAAAAGGCAGTGGCGTACTAGGCACCGACCGCGACGGGTTACATTTGCCCAGTTCGAACGTAGACTCCACGTCGATGCTCTGCGACCTGGTTATGTTTCTCATTTTTTGCGCCGCGAAGGTTGTTGTGGTAAAATTCGGCTCGGCGGTTGTGTTGATTATGTTCAGGCCGAACTCGGTGAGGCAGTGAGTGTTGGAGGAAATGTCCAGGTTGAAAGCGTCGATGTTATTGTTGTCGCAAGAGGGAGGTGCTTCGGTTAGCGAGTTCAAAAACAACTTCACGTTTTCGTTGTCCTGCCCGGGAATGTCGCAAAACTCCGGGTCCCGCGTTAATATCTCTGATATAATGTTGTCGGACGTGTCGCTGATTGGTGGATACACTCCGGCGGTTTGCATTTGGTGTAATGGCACCGACTGAGACCGGGAAATGTCAGTGAAAAGCTGCGTGGGATCGGGAGGTGGTTGTTGTTGAGGAAGCTTGGGAACGTTGGCGTACTCTGGCCTGTACTGAATCTTACTGTTCGTGTTCAGTAATTTCTGAAGCATCGGACTGACCGGAGCGGACATCGGAATATAATTTTTCATGGTAATATCGTTAGAAATCTCCAACGGCGTCAAATCTACATCCTTCTTTCCCTTCACCGGTCCCTTCCTGGTCTCGTGTGCCAACATAATACCCGCGTTCTGGTGAGCCGTGTTCTTCGTGCGCGGTACCGGAGTATTCCTAGGACTAACAAAAGGACTCGCGTTAGTACTAGAACATTTAGACTGCGCGCTACTATTCGGCGAGTGTGGTCCAGGCGAAATAGGAGTGAAATTGAAGTTTTTGCTGCGCGTGTTCGGACTGGGAGGCACCGATTCGTCGGGAGTTTCAAAACTGACGCGTCGCCTGGTGTTGGTAGGGATGCTAGGCAAGGTGGGCAAGGCTTGGAGCGGACTGACGTAGGGTGAGCTGTGCGCGGACAACTGTCGGTTTAAGGCGGGGGCGGTACTGGTGTAGGAGGCGAGACTGTCCGCCGGTAGTGCCAGATTGGAGTCTATTACAGGCGGGGTGGACGAGACTGGGTTTTTCTTTTCCGAAATGCCGTTCTGCTCGAGAAGCTGTCGCAATGTGGAGAGTTGCTCTCGGTTTCGGGGGGTTGGATCGCTCTCTTCGTTGCCGTTGAAGTATTTCGAGAGTTCCTCCTCGTGTTGGCTATTGTTCGTTCCTAAATCAACCCAAATAAAACTAATAATAAGAATAACTCGGCATTTTGCAAAAAGACTAGGCCTATTATAAAACGCCAGCGTTTTTAACAATAGAAGGATATTTTACAAAGAGCCTATCTGTATTCAGTCGCTTTGCAAAATGCCTAATGAAGACTAGTCAGATTGCATAAAACATTTTACGCGGGGTTGGTAAAACTAACCGAAATTTATTCAACAAAATTTCTTGTACTTCTCTTTCAAAATTAGGAAATAATGGCACAAAAACTGATAATTCTGTTAAATAGAGTATGGTTAAAGACGATTATTATAAAGATCTCAAATAAAGATCTAAAAAAAGTTCCACCAAGAAGCAGCCCAGTACACAGAATCCAATTACAAGTAAAGTAAATAAATGAGATATTAATATTAAGGTTTTAATATATTTTGTATTTAAAATTATGTTACTTATAATTTATGAAATAGGGTTCAAGTTGTTTTCGTCTAAACAAAATAAAATTTTGACATAAGTTATTGTTTTTGTATAGGAAAATATGGGGTATTTTTATTAAAGCGTAGATTATTCAATATGTTTAATCTCATAGCTGACTAAACTTTGATCATTTTTTAATCTGCTTGGCCACGATTTGGCATTTTGTAAAACGACTGAAAACAGGCATTCTTTTTGCAGAAGTATACAGAAAATATCGTCATCGTTTAATACGCCTAATTCACATTAGGCATTTTGCAAAGTGAGTGAAAATAGTAAGGCTTTTTGTAAAAATTCCTTCTTTTGTTTAAAAAGCCGGCGTATAATATGCCTAGTCTTTTTGCAAAAAGCCGGATGATTCTATACGCCTGCGACATATATACCATATCATACAATAAAAAAAATTACAGTCTGCGTCCAAATAACATTTTATTTCAGATCTAATCTCTACCTCTGAAAGAATGACAGCTGTTCGTTATTTATTTGAACTTCTTTAAACGTTTAACAAGAATTTCATTATACTTCATAATGAACTGTCATTGTCAAGAAATTTTAGTGGCAGATGAGCTATTTTCATTCATTTGAATGGGACAAACAATATGATTCTATCACCTAATAATCTAAACAAGAGCAATTATTATTTTTCAAAGGTTTTTATGGTCAAATTTTGAGTTCTTTAAATATATTTTTAAACTCCAATATAAAAAACAATTAAAACAGATACCTAAATATTCGTCCATGGCATCTTTATCGACATTGCTGACGCTCTCGAGCCTTTCCCGCGTTAATGGAAAATCCTCATCATCATCACATTCATTCAAATTATCCTCATACTTGTTATCAATAGGCTTAGCTGTAACAGACAAAAAATCAACTTAAAAAAAACTGTTATGTCGAAATGTCATTGTCTTTAAATTCTACGAGGACGTTTCGAGTAATTATATCTTACTCCATTATATGGAGGGAACCAAACCAAATAAGACCATACATCAATTAATGAGATTGTTTAATAAGAAACACAAAGTGTCTAAGACTAGGGATGAGCGATGCCGTGATTTTTAAATCAAACTGTTAACTGATGACCGTGATTTTTTTAATATATACATATATCAGTGATTTAAAACAGTGACATGATAAAGACTTTCATACTGTTCATAATAATAATGGCGTAATGAAGGATATTGTAACAACTGATACTGTGATATCTAATATCAGAGATTTAAAACCCTGCTGTGATCATAATGGTGCGAATCTTGTAACCTGTAGAAAGAAATTTCTTGCTAGTGACTCACACTTACTCGTCTTTATTCGCGAAAATATTTAGTCCATCATACTACAATCATACTATAGGCACCAAAAATACTATCCAAGCCCTAGACACTCAATAGCAATTTCGTGGAACTACAAATTTAGTTTCTTCCGCATCGCCAGACGGCGCAAAAGACATTCAAGTACAGGTTTCTAATTTATATATGAAGATGACATGGCAGCCTCTATATTTACTACGATCTATGGTCTAATTTTGGTGTAGTTAGTCTAGTTGTCAAAACGTTGGTGATCCGTCAAGTTATATTTAAATAATTTTATCTATTCTGATATTCCTGATTTGCCGGAAAGTTCGGTGATTTGTGTTTATAGTTTGGGTTTTATTAGTTTGTGCATTTTGATATTTACAGTGGATTATCATTTTCGCGTTAGATACTAATTTTTTTATTAAAGACATTTTAGACATCATAGAAATAATACATTTATGAATGAAATATAACAAATAGGCGCTATGTGCTCTATTGTTGGTGTTTAAAATGTATTCATAATTTTATTTTTAGTTTTGAATATGTTTCTTCATACTTCTAATGATCTAATAAAACATAACATATAGTAAACAAGTTTATATTTATTATTTTATATTTTACAAAGAATATTTTTGCGCTTGAATAACGTTACCGTTTTAGTTAATAATAAAAATTATGTTATGCCAAAACTCTCCATTAGTTTCTTCCGGATCACCAGGTGGCTCTAAATGACGGACTCATTTGTTTTATATCAGTTTCCAATCTATCTCTAGTACGTGACATTAGTCTATGATACTATCTAGTGTTTTGACATTGAAATTCTTGGTTATGTTCTATCATAGAGTCTTTGAATAAGAAGACTAAGGAAGGAGCATATCAAAAATCTTAGGTACACCGCGATGGGCCTCAAATATGGCCGACTTAAATTCCGGTTTATCAGTGTCGTTCTAATTTTATTTAAAAAATGTAAAACTATGATGTAGGGTAGACGTAGGGTAGACTCAATAATTTGTTGTTTTATTTTACGTTGTGAATAAATGTTGGTAGTTATTAAAATTGTTATAAAAATATATAATTCTAATAAAAATAGATAAGTTATAATAAGTATTTATTAGCACAAACATCCGAAACGCTACTGAAGCAGGTAAGTCAAATTAATGTATCTAAATTCTTTGACATCTAATCTTTGACAAGTAATAAATAAAAGCTAAAATGCAAGAAAAATATATAATTTAGTTAATTTAAGTGAATTTCATAAATAATCGGTTTACTACACGTATGTATATTATATAGTCACTTACTAGCGAAAAGTTGTTCCATTATTTCACCCTATTTTTGCCGAGATATACCGCACGCTACACAACCAACTATTTTAGAGTCTTTTTCGATAAATCGCGATACTGTCACTGTTAATTTAAGTTCTGCCACAATTTCCATCTAGATTTACTACCTTTATATAACTATCAGTAGTAGAATAAATAATAAATAACATAAAATAAGCTCCGTAAAGACTGACAAATCCACAAAATTTCAAATCAAATTCAAATGTGTCAAATGAATCGTCAAACAGAACTGTCAAGGATCCCCACCCTAGAGTGCTTTTATGGTGCTTTTTCCGCCCACCATGCATGAATACATGGATAGCATTATGCTCCTTCCTTAGTCTTCTTATTCAAAGCATAGAGTCATAGATTTGTAAATAAAATTTAGAATGTAGGGGCGGTGACAAAATATCGATATATTTTATAAAATTCATCGAAATACTCATCAATGTTTTAAAAAAAAATTACCGTATAACTGAAAAAAAAACGTCGTCCAGTTGACTTGGAAATGATGCGATCGATGACATTCCCCATATAATTTTGCATATAAAATGACAGCGATCTTCATTTCAATGCCGCCGTTTTTTTCGAGTATATTGTATATTATAAAATATGCTTGTTGATAAATAAATAAATACCAGGAAAAGACAGTGCCATGTTACCTTAAAATTAATGATGAATTATATTTTATAGGTAAAATTATGTTTTGAATGTTATCGACCATTCCCAAGATAATTTGCGCTCTCGACTTTTATTTCGATTGTACATATTGAACGAATATCAATGAATCTATGATCAAAATATCAGTCGGCCAATTTCGTAAATGGAGGAAAATTATATTATACATCCTAAAAATATCATAAGCCTAGTGAGCCACTAGCAAGAAATCTCTGGCTACGAGCTTACAGAATCGCACTGCAGTAATGCAGTCAGTGATTGCGGTTAGTACGATGGCCTCAGTCCTCAGTCTTCGTAGCGTCGCGTCGCGCGTCGTTCTGAAAATCGCTGTTACCAAAAGTTGTGATATCGTCACCGTTTTAACACGTCTTTTAGTAACAGTTAAGTTAGGTGATTTTTTGATATCAGTGATTAAATCACAGTTAACAAGAGTAACAGAACTGCATTACTTATTTTATTACAGAAAGAGGAAGCTAATACCACAGATTAGGTATACTATATGTATACAGATAAAAATCTTATCCCTAATTCGTGGTACAAAAATTGTTTTTTATGACGATGAGCAAACGAGTAAAATTTCCCGTGCGCAAATATAAACTCGCGTAAATAACAATAAACAGCGTAATAGAAAGATATCGGTAAACCGAATAGCGTGCATGGACGTTAATAAGGCCAGGTGTTATTTCCTTTACGTGAGGTGGTATTAACTCTCTTCATTTATAGTTATCGGATCGGAAAGAATTCTGTTCGCGTCGCGTCCGCTATTTAAACTTAACCTAATTTTGAATTTAAAACTTTGAAATTGTTTTGTTTACTAGGTATTTTAAAACTAAAGGGCTAAAGTGCTTATATCCAGTGCTTTATTGTTCAACGTCTGCCAGTGGGTTTAGGGCAACAAATTCTCTTAGAAGGGCTAAGTCGTCATCTGCTGTAAACCTAAGCCTTTTTATAGGTTCTTTAATATTGGAGGAGGTGGAATCCATATTTTGGGCCATATTTATTTAATTAAAACTAATCCCAGCTACTTAAATATCAAGTTTCCTAATAAAACTAAAGTAATAATTCAAAACAATTCAAACATAACCTAAAATAAAAGATCTCGCCGGTCGGCCCCGGTTGTCAAATACCCGCACATGCCCATTTAAACAATTTTTAAACGTTATTTAAAAATAGAACTTGGTGTAATTCAAGAACAGTTAACCTTACCGTTCTTTGGTGTAATTGATCCGCAAATTACGTCAGCCGGTAACGTTTTTAGCGGGTGTTGTGTTAAAAATTGACTCGCGTATATCGTAACCATGATAAGGTACGCGTAAATACTGGATGACGCTATTCGGTTTTCCGATATCTCTCTAATAACTGTGCCGGTCAGGCGCTGTGCACAATTTTAGAGGCCATAAGTGGGCGTGCTATGTGCGCAAACTAGTAACCTAACTAGTGCCCGATTCCGAAAATTGGAACAAATAAAGAAAACAAATAACAAAAAACAATAAAGAAAAAACAAAGTTTATAATCTGTGCTAATACTCTCTACTAACCTTTAGAACTATCATCTTCTTTCGCACCGCAGTGAACTTGCTGAGATCTGGTGTCGGCCAGCGAGGCGACGGTCTCCGTCTGGGTGGTGACGGTGGTCTGCGCTGCCGCCGACGAATTGTACGTTGCGATATCACATGGTTGCAGTCTGGGTTGGATCACTTTGTACTTGGGCTTGCGCTGCTGCTGCGGCGGCGTTTTCGCCTGCGCGGTGTGCGAGGCGCTGGTAGTGGTGCCGTTGTTGCCGCCGCCGTGCAGCCTGGGTATGGGCAACTTCTTGCCTAGGATCCCCGAGACTAACGGATTGGTCTTCTCCTGCCCCACACCTTTGAAAACAACGCTACTTACATATATGAAAAAAAATATTGTATACTTATTGTATACCTTATAAGTTATAACTCATTTGGTTTGTTTTGGTTCATTCATGTTGAAAACATATCTGCGACATTCGATTATCTTCGTCTCTGTCTTTGACACTAAATTGATCAATCTTCTTTCTTTTGTGTATATGTCATTTTTATGAAATAATTCTTAATTTTAGCCCGAAAATCATAATAATATGAACAAAAAATATCGTCATATTAATTGTTTATTCAATATATTTACGGATATGTTAAAACCACGCCACAAACAGTCCGCTAAAACTACAAGGTATTCAAAGTGAAGCCAAAGAAAAGAAATCGGAATATCAATCTTGCATAAGTCTATCCTTTTGGTTCAACGGGATTTTCGTGCGCACGCGCCAAATAAAACGATCTGATTCGTCTACTTTATCGCTGAACGCTGTCACCTGCCCGCGCACTATTATAAACTCTAAATATTAATATCGTATAATATATTATTTTTTTATTGGTTATTTCAACCTGTTATTTTATATATTCATCATATCTATCCGTTTCTTGTTTTTGTTTAAATATGTCAGAGATTAAATTTAAATTTATAAGTAAAGGCGCGAATAGTCAGACGTTAAATTGATTTACGTGGTAGATAGTAACTTAGAAAACTACTTCTATTGGTTAGTATGAAATAAATCAACTAATCGCGAAGCATTTCTCACGCTTGCGTAGTTCAAAGCTGCTGAACGAAAAGGACCGACTTATGTGGATTTTGTATAGCTCCATCTCAAAAATTTGGCTTCAATTTCTGTTCCTTACTGGCAATATAGTCTTATAATATATTTGTTGCAAAAAACAGCTGTAGTGTTGTCAAATTGAACTTTGAAACAGAAGTGTTATTTCTGGTTTAAGATAATTTGAGTACAGTAAAAACTTCGATAATCCGGACATACAGGGTCGTCCGAACTGTATTCCCGAAACTGCAGTAGTATATTCTGCAGATAAAAACAAGTAAAAAACTTCGTATTAATGTATGCCCTAAAATGCTTTGTTTCGGAGATACAGAGTGTAGAAGTTTCATATTTATTTCTATTTTTTCCAAATAACTTCTGAAGTAACGTCAATGTTTCGATAAAAATTGCTGTCCGGGAGTTTTTTGACATGAGAAATTTGATTTTGATGTCAATATGACTCCTATTTGTAGGGGGCGCCACCTACATGTGTATTAACTGTTTTGAAGAGTGATAACTTTTCGTCCGTACCTGTATAAAATTACTGAGTGAAAAAATATACATTTTCGTGACTTTCTAAGTAATAAATGTCTCTTCGTAAAAATCGCTACGAGGAACCGTTCTCAAGATATTTAGAATGGAAATAGTCAATACATGTCATTTTTAACAAAAAATAAACACGTTGGGTAGATAGTTATTTGACTAAAATAATAAATCTAGAAAATTTTTATTTTTTTAAATTAATCATACATTTTTTGCGAAAAATGATGATGAAACAATTTTTCTTGAACTTGTGGCACAAAAACATTTCAAATTTATGATTTCAGTCTAATAACTATTTAGTCAACATATTTAATTTATGTCAATGATGACAGGTATTGATAATTTCGATTCCAAATAACTCGAGAACCATAATCGTAGCGATTTTTACCAAGAGACCTTTTTTACGTAAAAAATGTTGTGAATGTATTTTTTTTTACTGAGTAGTTTTATACAGGTACAGACGAGAGAAAAGTTATTACTCTTCAAAACAGTTAAAAGATATGTAGGTGGCGCCCTCTACAAGTAGGAGTCATATTGACATTAAAATCAAATTTCTCATGTTAAAAACGCTCAGACACCAATTTTCATCGAAATATTGACGTTACTTCAGAAATTATTTGGAAAAAATAGAAATGAAAAATATAACTTCTACACCCTGTATCTCCGTAACTAAGCATTTTAGGAGACATAAATTTATACGATTTTTTTACTGATTTTTATCTGCAGAATACGCTGCCGAAGTTTCCGAAATACAGTTCAAACCACCCTGTATATTGGCAGGTTTTGAAGTAGGACTTTTCATAATTCTTTTTTAAGTGTGGTGTTGACAATAATTAAAGGTTTTATATTTCCTTTACTTAATTATTAAAATATTCTCTATCTTACCGGTACCGTTGCAGGCCGCCGCTTCTCCCAGCACCGGTTTCTGAAAGCTATTGAAGTCAGGTAACGCCGTTAATTGAGTGAACTCTGGTTTATCACAGATGGTTGCTCTGCCCTGAGTCGGACTGACGCTGTTGCTGCCGCAACTGCTGCTGGCCGTGCTGCACTCGCCGCCGCTGGTCAGGCCCCCGGCGCCGGCGCCACTGCCCGTTAGCCCCCCGTTCGCTCCTACGCTGCTGATCGAATCCTGCGACAGCGCGGAGGCCACTGACGAGGCGGGGACGCTCTGGGATCGGCACTTTTTCACGCCGGGTTTCGGTTCCGATTTTACAGCAGGCTGAAAGAACAATTATATTAAGCGTATTTATTTCCCAAAATACAAAATTATAATTCAAATTTTTACAGGTATTTTTCGCATATCGAATTTAAAAATGTTAAATTGTTCGACCCCCTTCATATCTCGGCTATCTTGTATCTTATTGAAAAGATGAAAATTGAAACCCGTAGAGTTTTTCACGTAGAATACAGTGACGTAACTAGTATTTCGCCGGGAGCTGTAATTTTCAAAATATGGCCCCAACTTATGTTCTTTTAAATGCGAGACCCTGTATATTTTTTTTATTTTTTCTCCTAATATAATATACAGGGTGTTCCTTAACGACATGCTAATATTTAAGGGGATAATTCGTAATGAATGTATGTACAACTTAACAAGTATAGCCAGAGACGTGAGAAATATAAAATAACACGGCGACCGGTGCTATCACCAAGTCTCTTCCTATATTTGTACAACTGTATGTCAACATCTTAATTTCTGAGATACTTAAAAAAACGTGGTAAACTTCTCTAAAAAAAGTTTTTTTTTCATAATAACTCTGATTTTATTATAGATATGTTTATGCAACTTGATACAGGTCTTCTATGCATCAAAATACCTTTTTTAGTGTACAAAGAATACTCTGTACTTAATTTCAGAAATAAAATAAAAAAATGCATTATTTAATTTTTTAACATAAAACAACCTAGTTAAAAAAAAGCATTATTATTTTATTTATTTTAACCAGATAATTTTGCTTTTCAACATGTTATCTCAAAAAAACACTGAAAATGAATATATACAACCCTGAGATAACACGCTGTCAATTCTACACACAGAAAGAAACAAGTACTGTACCGTAAGATCGAAAAAATAACGGCGTCCAGTTGGCCTGGAAATCGTCGACGACATTCACCATATAATTAATTATACATGTAATGACACCTATCTTTATTTGTAAGCCATCCCTGACGCCGTTTTATTTTCAATCGTATGATATAATTATAGTTACCGGAATTTTTCTTTTCCTTTCTTTGCCTTCATTCCTCTGCTGAATTTTCTTTTGTAACTGGATTTGCATCTCCCTATGCTTGTTGTTGTTTTTGCATACTGCTTCATCACCTTCTCCAAAAAAAGTAAAAACCAAAAACCTTTCAATTAACAGTATACATAAAAATAACAATAAATTAAACGTTTACAGCTAGTATCACTTTAAATACAGGGTTGTTCACCACATACGACACGGAGTATTGTAGCTAAACGATTAGATTTTTACAAATTGTAAGTTTTGGGTTCGTCGAAGGACTATTAGAGCTACAATTTAAAAATAATTTTACAAGATACAGAGTGTCCCAAATAAGTAAAAAATATTATAGTTGTATTTTTTTAAATGGAACACCCTGTATATTATTCTATTTTTAGATTCTACGATTGAAATAAAGGTAAATTTGATTAAGGTTTATCACACTTAAACCTTACTGTTTTCGAAATATTTTCAATTTTGTGAAATTGCAGTAAAAAATTTAAGGCTTCATTTCTTCAAGGGATATTTACTGATTGATTGATCAGATATAGTGTTGCAATAATAAAAATTATACTACTTACTACAGAGTGTCCAAAAATGTATATTAAATAATTACTAGCTTTAAACGGCAACTTGTTTAATTTAAATGGAACACCCTGTATATTTTACGTAAATCAGATGCACAATTTAATTGTATATCAAATTGTATTATACCATTTTTTACCTATCTCTTCAAGTTTTCGTAGAAAATGCATTTTCTTAGTTTAGCTACTTACTTTAACTTTACTTTTTTCCGTGTCGTATGTGGTGAACACTGTATAACTTTACAATGTTAAATTTATCATTTATCAGGGTTAATTTTGACATGATTATATAATAATTAGTGCATACAAACTAATTGCAGATCAGTAAAACTAATATTTTTAGTGGCAAGTCTGAGAATCTTACCACGGTATTATTATCGTAATTTTACAAATTAAATTTTTATTCTAAAGCATTAAATACATAATAAGTGGAAAGAACGTGTACAATATGAATATAAATATATGTATGTAAAGTTAAACGATGGTTGTACAGAATTTAGTAGCTATATGAAGTACAATTTATGCAACTTAGGACACATGTATGCTTTAAGATTATTTCAAAAATAGCTTAAAAACTCTGCATATAGTAAAAAATTGCAGTCTCATAAATACTAACCTTTTCCTTGTGATTCGCTGTTGGAAGTCAGCTTGCTGGCAGCTTCGGAACCGGAACCGATCGAACAATGTCTCACTAAGTAATTGGCCAATGACTGAAGGGAGGTGAAATGCACCCCCAGCTGTTGCTGAGCCCAATCTTTCACTATTAACCAGGCAGCGTACGTCAAGTTGGACTGCGTAATCGGAGCCTCTGTAGACTAACAAAAAAAAATATAGATGAAAGATTTCGACAGAACATGGGTGTCTAGTTTTAGTAAATTCTTTAAAATAGTTGGTTTCCAGTAGCGGTGCGTAGTTTAGTTCCAATAAAATATTCCGACCCCGGAACGAAGGAACTAGTTCCCGGTTTCTTAAAGGACTAGTTCCTAACGGACCTATTCCCGGGGACCGATATATAATAATATGCCACGGCGGCGCGGCGTATCGGTCAACGCGAACGTAGCTCGATGGTAGGCGGAAGTGGGAAGTGCAAGCTGTATGTCCTCAGGAAGTGCAGCTCGGTCCCAGACCGAGAGGAACTAGAGAAACTAAATAAAAGGCTAGTTCACGTACGGATTGGCCAGCGCGATCGTAGCCCGATGCTAAGCGGGAGTGGAGGGTGCCAGCCGTATGTTACCTGTCCCGGACCGAAAGGATTGAGAGGAACTAATTAGAAGATTAGTTCACGGGAATCTATTCAGTGGGCAGATCTGAGATATAATACAAGGCGACGACGATGGATTCAGCCTTGTCTATTGCCACAGCCGGTGTAATTACCACAGGAAATTGTCGTGGATACTGTTTTTGATTTTTACTTTGTTCTTTGAATATTTTATGGGAATGTTTCACTTTAGGTCCCTAAAATTAAGAAATATCTTATAAAACGAAGTAGATATTCTGAATTTTTGGATAAAAACAAAAAGTTTGAAGTGGGAAAAATGCAATTTTTCGTAAAATTTTCGTATTATTTGCTCCAATTGATTTGTGATATAGTTTTTTAAACTCTGCTTTGAGTTTCTTAATCTGCAATAAAACTTACCTATATATTTTTAACATATGCAATTACACGTCTCGTTATATTTCGTACATTATAAAAATTATACAGATCAGACTGTGAATAGTTTTGACTGACAACGAAACCCATTAGCAAGCAACTAGGATGTCAATGTTTATCGGGAACTATTGTGAACTAAAGACCTAGTTCAAAGAACTATTAATCTGAACTAGAACCAAGGAACTAGTTCCTCCCAAAGAACTAAAGTTCCCACCTCTAATTTCAACAGAACATCGGTGTTCGTTATTAGCTAGTTTTTTCTAAATTTTTCAAAATAGTTGGTTTCCAGTCATACTTACCAAAGGTTTGTCTGATATATCGGGCAACAAGGGCGGTTTTAAGTTCACCCTTCGCCTGAGCCCCGAGTAGCAGTACTTGGAATTGCCTCTCTGGCCTAATCTTCGAGCTCTCACTTTGGGGAACACCTGTTTCATAACCTTGCCGAAATCTGCTTGCGATAAGGGCTTAATGGTGTTCTTATCACAGTACTGCCTTGAAAAAAAAATATAATTTAGATTTTAGATTAATTTAATTAAATGAAATATGACTTTTGCGTTTTGAAACGGATTAAAAGGACTCCCATTGGGAATATGATAAATTTTACATTTAAAAAAGTATATGACCAAATATATGCATTTCTTGATAGAATATTGAAAAATTTAATCAGAATAAGTTGTTTCAGTTTTTTAATTCTACGTAAGTATATCAATTTTCAACTACCTAGTTGAAATATATAGAACTTAAAAATAACTGATTCCTGAAGTCCATTTGTAAGTCAAATATTTATCTGGTGGTCATACAATTATTTAAGTGTTAATGAAGTAATTGATAGTTTTTAAGAAAAAAATAAAATTTAATACTAAAAAAATGATTCCGCTCATACAAAGCATGAATAATTCTGCTATTTTTCCAAATGATATCATTCCCATAATGCGCAATTCTAAATATGTACTTAAGTTTACAGATTCCTTCAAATAAGTCCCGCTATAGTTATAAATTATTTATCACAGAGTTTCAATACGCAAAACTTATTTGATCAATATACAAACTATACAAATTTGATACTGTAAAAGGTGTACAACGTATGAAGTGTATACCGGGTGCGTCTCAAAAGTGGCTCACCCCTATAACTTTTTTATTTTTTCAGATAAAACAACGAGATTTGGTATGTTAGAATATGACATAAATTGGGATTGACTGACATATCCAATTGTTTTCTGTCACTTCCGGTTTTACCGGAAATGACTACAACTTTTGATTTTTAAATGGCACCCTCGATATTTCTTTACTTTATTCGATAGAAAATGACACTCTGAATAGAATGACATATCATATGTCAACTTTTGACATTTTCACTTATGGTTTATTTGAAGTTGTAACAGGCGGTTCATAACGACAATTGGACTCGCAATACCAAGTGTGTATGGTACCAAATTAGTGGTAAAAAATACTTTTTTCAAATATGCTAATGGGCCACCCTCGTTCCATTTGAAAAAATTGAGATATGATTAAAAATACGATTTGGACATCTTTTAACCGGCCAGGGCAAGGCACTAAAAACATTAGACGATCAAATCTATTTTTCCAAGGCTCCTTGATTAAAAATTAGTGTTTTTAACACAGTCATGGCACTCTAGATTGAAATTTAAAGTACAATTTGTTTTTCAGCGAATATGTCAAAAGTTGGCATATGATATGTCATTCGATTCAGATTGTCATTTTCAATCGAATAAAGTCAAAAAATACCGAGGGTGCCATTTATAAATCAAAAGTTGTAGTCATTTCCGGTGAAACAGGAAGTGACCGAAAATAATTGAATACGTCAATCAATCCCAATTTATGTCATATACTAACGTACCAAATCTCGTTTTTTATTCGAAAAAATAAAAACTTTTGAGACGCACCCGGTATACAACTAAATCTTACAAGCCGTTAAAACTATATTTTTGATATTTTGTACTATGTCAACAATTTTATGACACGTACAGAGTGTCTCATTTTAACTCTAACTGAGAGTTTTCTCGCTTCTTATTAAAAAATTATAGCCTTGTCGATTTCACGAACCTGAGCTACTGTTATTTTGTGAAACCTAAGATGGCACAAACAAAATTGCCAAGACCCCCTTAGTTTCCATGATACAGGCTTAGGGTTGGGTAACGAGGCGTAGAAAATTAATGTTCTACGTGTATATAGAAAAGTGTGTAGAAAATGTAGAATATTAAACAGAAAATGTATAAAATCTGAGAACAGGTACAAAATTAATGTTGAATTGTGTCTGGAAACGTTCTATCCATTTTTAATCTTTCTATAATCAGTGTTAATTTTTGTGTCAATTTCTCGTAAATGACATCTCGGCATTGATTGCCATTCCCCAGCTGTCTTCGACGCCGTTTTTTTTTTCGATCATAAGGTATAAGTGTGTGCCACAATACCTACATGATGTCAAATGTCGAATGTAAAAAATCTATTCGTTTCTTCTATACCGGGTGCGTCTCAAAAGTGACGCACCCGGCTATATAACTTTTTCTTTTTTCCAGATAAAAAAAACGAGATTTGGTATGTTAGTATATAACATACATTAGGATTGATTGACGTATTCAATTGTTTTTAATCATTTCCTGTTTCACCGGAAATGAGTACAACTTTTGATTTTTAAATGGCACCCTTTGAATATTTTTACTTTATTCGATAGAAAATGACACCGAATAGAATGACATATCATATGTCAACTTTTGACATTATTGTATATGGTTTATTTGAAATTGTAACACGCGATTAACAACGACAATTTGACTCGAAATACCAAGTGTGTGGTACCAAATTATTCGTAAAAAATGCTGTTCCAAATATGCTAATGAGCCAGTTTTGTTCCATTTGAAAAAATTGAGATATGATTAAGAATACGATTTGGGCATCTTTTAACCAGCCAGGATAAGACACGAAAAAATAGTGTTTTTAACTCAGCCATGGCACTCTAGATTGAAAGTCGTTATATTCAGAGTATCATTTTCTATAGAATAAAGTAGAAATATACCGAGGATATAATTTAAAAATCAAAAGTTGTAGTCATTTCCGGTGAAACAGGAAGTGACCAAAAACAATTGAGTACCTCAATCAATCCTAATTTATGTCATATCTGAAAAAATGAAAAGAAGGTTTTGGGGTGGGCCACTTTCGAGACGCACCCGATATAGGTATATTTTTTATTGACAATTTTCATAAAATACCATTTGAGAAAAAAATAAAGACAATAGTTACTCTTTCATTGAACTAATCTAGACGATTTAGACACAATAAATAAGAAGTAATTACTTTGAATGGAAGGCAGCAAATGTCACCAGAATTATTTTGTATTTGTTTTGAAACCACCTGAAATTATTCGAAACATTTAATTTCTGATGTAAGTCACATTATACTTGCGTCTTGCGTATAACAATTAAGTAATGTTTTCAAGATAACAATTAGTCTGTAACAAATATTAAATCTGAATAAATAATTAATTAAGTTTAAAAATTAAACAGGTTACGTTATGTGAGTCATTTATAGAAATTTATCTTTTAAATTTCTGATTAAAAAGAAAATAGAAAAATAAATGAATAAGTCAATAACCTACGATATTTCAAGAAATGTTCCTTAATTTAGATTGTTTGGCGAAATAAATATATTTCCATGTTATCTGTATATCTAAAGTCGAATACATCCAAAAAATAACCGAAAATTTCATTAACATCTGAATTAAAATGACAGACAACTGTCACGTCACTGTCAAATGTCCTCTTGTTGGACACATACTATACAGGGTGGTCCGAACAGTATTCCGGAAACTTCGGCAGCATATTCTGCAGATAAAAATAAGTAAAAAAGTACGTATAAATGTATGGCCCAAAATGCTTAGTTTCGGAGATACAGGGTGTAGAAATTTCATTTTTATTTCGATTTTTTCCAAATAATTTCTGAAGTAACGTCAATATTTGGATCAAAATTGGTGTCTGGGAGTTTTTTGACATGAGAAATTTGATTTTGATGTCAATATGACTCCTACTAGTAGAGGGCGCCACCTATATATTTTTTAACTGGTTTGAAGATTAATAACTTTTCGTCCGTAACTGTATAAAACTACTGAGTAAAAAAAATATATATTTACGATGTTTTTTATGTGAAAAAGGTCTCCTAGCAAAAAATCGCTACGAGTAATGGTTTTCGAGATATTTGGAATCGAAATTATCAATACCTGTCATCATTGACAGGTTGACTAAATAGTTATTAGACTAAAATCATAAATTTGAAATGTTTTAGTGCCAACAGTTCAACAGAAACTGTTTTATCATCGTTTTTTGTAGAAAAATTTATGATTAATTTGACAAAAATAAAAATTTCCCAAATTTATTATTTCAGTGAAATAAGTATCTACTCAACGTGTTTATGTTTCGTCAATAATGACATGTATTGACTATTTCCATTCTAAATATCTTAAGAACGGTTGCTCGTAGCAATTTTTACAAAGAGATATTTTTTACGTAGAAAGTCACAGAGATGTATATTTTTTTACTCGGTAGTTTTATACAGGTAAGGACAAAAAGTTATTACGCTTTAAAACAGTAAAAACACATGTAGGTGGCGCCCTCTACTAGTAGGAGTCATATTGACATCAAAATCAAATTTCTCATGTCAAAAAACTCCCAAACACTAATTTTCATCCAAATATTGACGTTACTTCAGAAATTATTTAGAAAAAATCGAAATAAAAATGAACCCTCTACACCCTGTATCTCTGAAACTAAGCATTTTAGGACATAATACATTTATACGAACTTTTTTACTTATTTTTATCTGTAGAATAAGCTGCCGAAGTTTCTGGAATACAGTTCGGACCACCCTGTATATATTTTTTTATAGATATCTTAACATTTTTGACATCTTCCTCAATTAAGTAATAAAATGTTTATTTTTTTAGATAAATCCAGTTTTTTGTTTAAAAATTAAAATAAACTTTTTTAATTACAGTCAAAACGTTGTGGTGTGGTACACACACGGATGCCAATTTTCTTATCTCAATATTTGTTAAAAATATCACAATAATGTAAACACCCTGAAAATCCTTTTGATTCATTAACAAATATTTTTTTGGATTTAAAAAATGAATTATAAAGTTCTTATCAAAAACAACCGAATACGCTTTTGATGTACAGGTTTGGTGAATTCAGTTGATTTCAAAAAATTTCGACAGCAGCGCTGTATACGGCAGAAATCAGAAGTTTTCACTATGTATTTCACGCCGTCCCGGTTACAGTTCACGTTGATCGCATTAAAATAATATTAAAATCGTGGATTTGTCATAATATTTAAGTATTTTAGATTTTTTTTAGTGCAGTTATTGCAAACTATAAAACACTCAGCTACGAGGTTTGTGTGATGTAATGCTGATTTGGGTAGTAAAAATTAAGTGAAACATAACTCGAACTAGGTGGCGTGTTGCGTTCTGACAACTTCAAATGTTAATAAAATTGCCGAAAAAATATAACACGTAAAGGAGGGCATAAGTACGTGGTTGTTGAGTGCAATAACATTCAATAACTCAACTTTCCCGGATATTCAACTCCCGAAACAACATTTTAAAGGTTCATAGTTTCTCACATTGATCAATATTGATTTGATCAAAAGCGAAAATGGATTGAAGCAGTTCGACGAAACAAGTGAGTAAACAAAGTGCCCATTACGTTATCAAAAAATTAAATAGACATACTACTATAAGAGGATAAAATATAATTTGCAATATTAATGGTAACTCTTTTTAATCAACTAGTGCTTAAATTTTTTATTCTTCTAAAATGATAATTATGTACCTTCAACAAATTTCGTTATAGCCGAAATAGTCCAAGTTATGTTCCCAATAGCAAAACCTGTGCGTAAAACTATGCTCGCTACCGTAGCTAAACTCATCTAAAAAGTTTTATTATCTTCAATAATAAATTATAATACAAGTTAGACCTTCCGGATATATCAAAATATTTACTTTTTTATTTTCTTTTTAGAATTTTCACAAATTATACTTCCTGTAATTATTAATTAACACTTTTAGAATAATTATTATATAAAGTTTTTTTCGTTATTCTCGCTATTTAAGCCCGTGTATATACCGATTGTTTACGATATTCTCCGATGGTGGCAGCACCGGCGGAGAATGCACCAAGCCTATAAGTTTTTTGATATTTGTATAAGATAATATTATTAAAAAAATCTAATTATACATTATGAAATTGATCTTAAAAATCTACTGTGTCACTCTTTCTGGAGTTATAACTCATCATACAGTTTCATGGCTTTGATAAAAGCCAGTATCTGAGACGGTTTTACAGAGGGTAGTGGGACACCCTGTATTAGGTACTTTCATTTTGTACGTTAAGGTTTGTCTATTTATATCTATTATTTGTATGGCAATTTGTTAGTAGAGAATAAAGAAGCAACAGTTCTTTGAAAAAGCTTTATTTAATAGAATTTTGAATCTTCTTCTTCGGGTTCCATCTCCTCATGGAGGTTGGAAATCATCATGGCAATTCTAACTTTGTTAACGGCTGCTCTGAATAACTGGTTTGAAGTCATTCCAAACCATTCTCTCAAATTCTTGAGCCATGATGTTCTTCTTCTTCGTGTTCTGCAGCAGGGCATATTTAGGTCCTCTCATTATATGTCCAAAGTACTCAAGTTTTCTCTTTTTAAGGGTATTAATCACCTCTTCGGCCTTATGAATTCTGCGTCGCAGTTCTATATTTGTAACCTTGTCAGTCCATGCAATCCTCAGCATACGCCGATAACACCATCTTTCGAATGCCTCAAGCTTCTCCATTTCGGCCTTTTTAAGTGTCCAAGCCTCTGAACCATAGAGTAGAGTTGCAAATATGTAACCCCTTTAGCATTCTTAATCTAAGCTTTAAGTTGATGTCTCCACTGCAGAAACATTTTTTGAGTTTTACAAAGGATGCTCTGGCTATTTCTATTCGAGCTTTTATTTCTGCTGATTGATCCAAGTTTTCGGTCAACCAACTGCCTAGATATTTATATTTTTGTACTCTCTCCATAGGTGTATATATCATCTATTAGAACATTGGCTTGGACATCTTGAGTAGTAGAATTTTGAATAGCTTTAGCAAATATCAAAGGATATTATTCAAGGTACGTCAAGGTCAGTTTAAACAGATTAGAGCCCAATTAAATAGATTATATATCTTTATTACTCTGAGGGATCAAATCAGTAAGGATCGCGCATCTCACTGTCAAGGTCGCGCCCGAGTGTAATAGCCATAAAAATAAATAAATAAAAACCGAAACCATTCACGACGATTTTCGTTTCAATCGAGAGTTTGCGAAACAACTAGAGCTCAACAACTTAATAATTTATTACCGCTATCAGTACTAATAAACAATATTGACATTGGCTTATTAGCGTTCCGATTACACAAAATACACTTATTTAAATTAAGGCCCCCAACATATCGGTAAACAACTTTTATAGGATACAGATAAATCCACTTACGAAAAAAAAACATTTCTAAGTTTCCTATTTTTATTTGGACATACAGGGTGTCCCAGGCTGAGCGTGCATTAGAAGTTTCTAGAGAACTACAATATCTAGATCGGAGATTTTTTGCACATCATCGTTTTACAACGAGATCTATCGATTAAAAATACAGTAAAACTTCCATATAGCGGCCACAAAAATTTTCAAAGGAATGTGGCCGTTAAGGGAAGTGGCCACTATTGGGAACAATAAAATACAGATACCAATGTAAAATGCCTTTATTTTGGAAACGTGCAAAGTAATTAAAATTAAGTACGAGCATGTAGTACAAACACACAATAAGTGTTAATAAATGATCTTCAGTTTTAGATTTTGGCACAAAAAAATAATTCAGTTGTTACAAAAAACTATTACATAAGAATTTTTGAAAAAAACTTTACAATGTATACATATGTATTTTACTCATAGGTATTCTTATATACATATGTACAATTGACTTTAAAAAGTTACAAAATGATAACCTTATTTTATATGGTGAAAAACTGATTAATGGTAGTCTGCTTTAAATTTTTAATTTTGATTTTTGTAATTTCACTTTCAAATTTCATCAAAGTATGGGCAATATCAACCGCTAGTTCGTCTTTGTTTTGAATCACCAAAAAATTCTGAATGTCTCTTAATTTTTCACATACTTCACTCATATTATTTATAGATGAACACAGAATGTCTTGGCCTTCATCTTCTTCCTCTTCGGCTTGAGTGGAGTCCTGTCTGTCCTTGTTGTTTGTAAATTCCTGGATTATTCCCTGCATCTCTAAACTAGGATTTTCCGTAGGGACATCTGAATCGACTGTCAGATATTCTTTAAGATCTGGACTTCCTGGCATGTTTTTTAAAATTGAAGATAACTGACTTAAAGGAATGTCGTCCTCTTCGTCAAATGCATCGTCCCCTTTGACGGTTGCAAATCCCGCTTTTTGGAAACATTTTTTTATAGTGTTCGATGTAACATTTTTCCATGCTGTACTTATCCACACCATAGTACTTGCCAAATTTATGCTCTCTTTAGCCTTTTCCATCGTTTCTTCGGTATTAGTAAAAGTCAAAAGTCTTTTAATAAAAAATTGACGATATTTTAATTTAAAATTTTGAATAATTCCTTGGTCCAACGGCTGGCAATGAGATGTCGTATTTGGAGGAAAAAAAATTATACGAACATTTTCAAGTTCTATTTTTGGGTGAGACGTGGCATTATCCAAAAATAAAAGAACTTTTCTACCCTGCCGTTTCATTTTGGTGTCAAAGGTTTTGAGCCAAGATGTCATTATATCTGTCGTCATCCAAGCTTTTTTGTTGGATACCCATTCTATCGGCAATTTATCTACATGCGCTCCTTTAAAACATCTCGGGTTTTTGCTCTTACCTATAACTAGCGGATTTTCCTTCTCACCATGCATGCTGCAACAGAAAAGCAGTGTCACTCGTTGTTTAGCTGATTTTTTGCCAGCACATTTATCATTCTTTAAAGCAAAGGTTTTGTTTGGCATTGCCATATAATAAAGCCCTGTTTCGTCTGCATTAAAAATGTCTTTAGTGTCGTATTCCTTAATGATTGCTGTTAATTTTGTTTTCCAGTCTTCAACAGTCACTTCATCCACATCTGCAGACTCACCACAAATTGTTTTGAAGTTAATATTATGTCTCTTGCAAAACTTATTTAACCAGCCAGTTGAAGCCTTAAATTCACTAAGTTTCAAGGATGTAGATACCTCAAGAGCTTTTTCCCGAATTAAGGTTCCCGATATGGGTATGTTTTTGTTCCTTGCCTTACAAAACCATTCGTAAACTAGTTGATCGATTGCAAATCCTTCTGTTTTAGGAAACTTTCGTTTTTTATCTGCATTGCATCCTTCTTCTTCAAACATTTTTTTTAATTCCACTTTGTTTTTTAAAATGTCGTTCACTTGCGTTCTTCCAACACCAAACTTTTCCGCCAACTTTCGAGCACTGCTGTTATATTTTTCACTTTCCGCGACAATATTTAATTTCTCTTTAATAGACAAACGTTTACGTTTCAAAGACATGGTTGCTGTTCTTTCAGAGTAAGAAACTAAACTGATTCTATATCTCCCAAAAATTTCAGCAAACTACTGACGAATTTGTATTGTATTTGTCACTCTCTGTACCTAGTTCTCAAACAAATTATAAATGTTTATTGCTTGGAATTTCCTAAAGTGTCCTGAAACAGCTCTTGTTAGACAAAAAAAAGGTTCGAAGGGTTCGGTTTTTGGCCGGTATTGGGGCAATAAATTTAATGGGGTTTTTCCTAAAATGTACCTTTAAAGCGGCCGGTGACCGCTTTCGGAATTAACGTTATTGAGAAATATTTTAATATAGGAATTCCCCTAAGATTAATTCAAACAACTGAAAATTGACCGCTAACAGAAGTGACCGCTTTTTAGAAGTGGCCGAAATGGGAAGTTTTACTGTATTTTCAATGTGTTTCAAGTTGACAGAAACTCTTTTATTTTAAATGGGTAGGTACCCCCATTTTTTATCACATACTTAAATTCTACGTAAAATTCTATGTGTGAATTTTGATATCAAACATTCTATACCTAACATTAACCGTTTTTGAGAAAAAAAATATTTAAAAATTTTCGACGAAAAAAAAACTGCCTGTGAAAAATGTGTATAGCCTAAGCGTCAAATTTAGTGACTAACACAACGACTGTGACATAAAGAGAAGACATGTGGCTTTCCAAAATTAAATTGTTCGAATGTCATATATAATATTGGATTAAAAAATTATCATAATAAGTCATTTTTAGTAGGTATGGTAGGCTCGAGGGTAGGCTATTAAGATCGGCAAAAAAAAGTTTTTTTTTAATTTCACTCAAAATGAGTTATCTGGGTCGTAAATGACCTAAATACAAAATATTTTCGTGGTGTCTGTCTGTCTGTCCGTCTGTAGCACGATAACTCAAAAACCGCTAAACCGATTTTAACCAAATTTTTTTTATTTATTTATTTAATATTATTCCAACGGTAAACCATTTTACATTCAATGTATTTAAGGACACCCCCCAAAAGTCAAGGTCTTCATTGGCATTGACATATGAAATTAGAGGTGTGAAGTTCGTGAACGAACTAGTTCCAATCAACTATTCCGACCCCGGAATGAAAGGCACTAGTTCCTGGTTTCTCAAAGAAATAGTTCCCAAGGACCTGTTCCGGGATCGAGACTGTGACCGATATAGAATAATATGCGACGGCGACGGATCGGCTAGCGCGCGTAGTCCGATGGTAGGTAGGAGTGGGGAGTGCCAGCCATACGTTATCAAATCCAGACCTAGAGGAACTAAACTAAATAAAAAACTAGTTTACGTACGAACGGATCGGGCCAGCGCGATCGATGCTAGGCAGGGGTGGGGAGTGCCAGTCATATGCCGTATGTTATTGGATCCGGACCTAAAGGAACTAGAGGAACTAAATAAAAGACTAGTTTACGTATGGATCAGCCAGCGCGATTGATGCTAGGCAGGCGTGGGGAGTGCCAGCCGTATGTTATCGGATCCGGACATAGAGGAACTATTTCCTTTACTTTGAAACTAAAAGAACTGCCTACCAACTTTTTATTAACATATTTTAGTATGGGCGGCTATACGTGCCTTCTGACGCCAATTTTTTTCACAATATTTTGAAGTAATCACTTATCAGTCAAATTTTAAATATATTAATTTTCTGCTATAAGTTCCAATTGTACCAACTTATTTCTTTGTTAAATAAAATAAACTACTTTGAAATTAAAATGATAGACACATCTATCACTGTCAAGAATCTTGTCGTTGGACAGACTATAGGTCTTTACTATAGTTGGTCTGTAGTTACCTTGCTACAAATATAGTAATCTTAAACCACACAGGTTGTTCAAAATTCTATGCCAATCCTGTTATTATCTCTAATTAAAAAATTAACATTTTTTTGTATTTAAAGCATTTTAGAATTTTTAGCGGTTCCATTTAGCGAGACCAAAAAACTCTGTTATTTTCCATAGTTCCTAAAAAAATACCTTTTTCTAATTAAAAATAATAAAACTTACATTCGATAGACAATAGAAAGTAGACTATTTTGAATAAAATCTGCATTTTTCTTGTTAGTTTATTCATCGTAAAAAAATAAATTTATTATTAAAATTAGGTATATAGAAAAAAAAATTAAACAAAAAAACAACATTTAAAAATAATAATTTTGAATTCTACAAAAAAACTTTAATAAGTATATCAGCTATTTTTGTATTTACTACACTTAAAACTAAAAAAAAACTGATGGATTTTATGACTTAAACGATAAAAAAACTGGTATTTATATAATATTAATTTTATATTACTATTTAAGATATGATACCCCCTTCCCACATTTTACTATATTTGTTCTAGCAATAAGCTGTTAAGTACATTTTTTATTTGCAGATAACATCGAAGATTAAAAGGCACTACAAATTTCGCATTGTCTTATCTAATCTAAAAAAGCTATATAAATCTGCGATATTTTTTCCGTACATTCATCTTTTAGAACGCTATGATATCTATTCTCAATACAGATACAGGCTGTCCCAAAATATTCACGACAAATGAAAAATGTTTCATTATCGAAAATTGGTTTACAGGGTTGGAAAAAATCATGATTTTTTTAAAAAAATCAAAAAAATCAGATTTTTTTGATTTAAATTCAAAACAATATTTAAATCGGATTTCCAAATGACTAGGACTTATTTCGAATTAAAGTCCTATCCTAAATGGCTAAATCTTAATAACTCTGAGCGATAACGATAAAATTAACAATTCTACGGGGCGTGTCATTTTTCCACATCGGTCACCAATATATTCCGCAAAAAAGTCGCGCGCTTCAGATCCAAACGATTTTTTTTCAAACGTCTCAAAAGTATTAATTTTTGTCATTTTAACGGCTATAGGCATAAAAGTAAAGCACTGTTACGCCTAAGCACAAAAATACAAAAATATATTATTAAACTGATATTAGGTGTCAAATTCAACGAGTGTACAAATCGTTTCTCGATTACTGGTTGTATTGTGAAATTGCAATGTTTGAAATTGATTAAAAAATTATTTGTAATGTTTTAAAAAAATAGTGTTTTATTCGGAGTAAAAATGTACTTTTTGTGCCTCCTTGTAACGCCGGAATAGCTTTACGATGGTCCTTCAAATGTACAGCATCGTCAAAAAAAGTATAATTTCTACTCTTAATAAAACAATACACTATTGTTCGGAAATAGTGTTAACGTGCATATGTAAAAAAATTATTTCAAAAATAGCTTAAAAACTCTGCATATAGTAAAAAATTGCAGTCTCATAAATACTAACCTTTTCCTTGTGATTCGCTGTTGGAAGTCAGCTTGCTGGCAGCTTCGGAACCGGAACCGATCGAACAATGTCTCACTAAGTAATTGGCCAATGACTGAAGGGAGGTAAAATGCACCCCCAGCTGTTGCTGAGCCCAATCTTTCACTATTAACCAGGCAGCGTACGTCAAGTTGGACTGCGTAATCGGAGCCTCTGTAGACTAACAAAAAAAATATATAGCCGGAAGATTTCGATTAGAGGTGTGTAGTTCGTGAACGAACTAGTTCCAGTGAACTATTCCGCCCCCGGAATGAAAGGAACTAGTTCCTGGTTTCGGAAAGAACAACCTCGGGACCTATTCCGGGATCGAGACTGTGACCGATATATAATAACATGCGACGGCGACGGATCGGCCAGCGCGATCGTAGCTCGATGCTAGGCAGGAGTGGAGAGTTTCAGCCGTATGTTATCGGATCCGGACCTAGAGGAACTAAATAAAAGACTAGTTTACGTCGGGATCGGCCAGCGCGATCTTAGCCCGATGCTAGGCGGGAGTGGAGAGTGCCAGCCGTATGTTACCTGTCGCGGACCGAGAGGAGTGAGAGGAACTAGAGGAACTAATTAAAAGGCTAGTTCCCGGGAATCTATTCAGTCGGCAGATCCGAGATATAATACAAGGCGACGACGACGGATTCGGCCTTGTGTATTGCCACAGCCGGCGTAATTACTTGTGATGGGAAAAACCGATTAACTTCGATAATCGAGTACTCGAGTTTCAAGCTGTTGCAATAACCGAGCGATCGCTCAAGCGAAATATCACTCGTATTTATCGTCCGTGGCTTGTGTACTCGTTAACGCCAAGCGCCAAGCAGTAAGTTGCGTGCGCAGGGCACATATTTATTTGGTGATGAATGGCAAGTAGCAAGCGACGAGCGATTCGCTTGATCGCTTGATTTAGTTTATTTCAAAGCATGTCGGTTATTTCAATAATCGAGTACACGAGCGAATTTTCGCTCGAGTTATCCCATCACTAGTAATTTTTTAGTTTGTTCTATTGTGATCTAAAGATCTAGTTCAAAGAACTAGAACCAAGGAACTAGTTCCTCCCAAGGAACTAGAATTCCCACCTCTAATTTCGACAGAACATCGGTGTTCGTTATTAGCTAGTTTTTCTAAATTCTTTAAAATAATGGGTTTCCAGTCATACTTACCAAAGGTTTGTCTGATATATCGGGCAACAAGGGCGGTTTTAAGTTCACCCTTCGCCTGAGCCCCGAGTAGCAGTACTTGGAATTGCCTCTCTGGCCTAATCTTCGAGCTCTCACTTTGGGGAACACCTGTTTCATAACCTTGCCGAAATCTGCTTGCGATAAGGGCTTAATGGTGTTCTTATCACAGTACTGCCTTGAAAAAAAAAATATAATTTAGATTTTAGATTAATTTAATTAAATGAAATATGACTTTTGCGTTTTGAAACGGATTAAAAGGACTTCCATTGGGAATATGATAAATTTTACATTTAAAAAAGTATATGACCAAATATATGCATTTCTTGATAGAATATTGAAAAATTTAATCAGAATAAGTTGTTTCAGTTTTTTAATTCTACGTAAGTATATCAATTTTCAACTACCTAGTTGAAATATATAGAACTTAAAAATAACTGATTCCTGAAGTCCATTTGTAAGTCAAATATTTATCTGGTGGTCATACAATTATTTAAGTGTATTGAAGTAATTGATAGTTTTTAAGAAAAAAATAAAATTTAATTCTAAAAAAATGATTCCGCTCATACAAAGCATGAATAATTCTGCTATTTTTCCAAATGATATCATTCCCATAATGCTCAATTCTAAATATGTACTTAAGTTTACAGATTCCTTCAAATAAGTCCCGCTATAGTTATAAATTATTTATCACAGAGTTTCAATACGCAAAACTTATTTGATCAATATACAAACTATACAAATTTGATAATGTAAAAGGTGTACAACGTATGGAGTGTATACCGGGTGCGTCTCAAAAGTGGCTCACCCCGTATAACTTTTTTATTTTTTCAGATAAAACAACGAGATTTGGTATGTTAGAATATGACATAAATTGGGATTGACTGACATATTCAATTGTTTTCTGTCACTTCCGGTTTCACCGGAAATGACTACAACTTTTGATTTTTAAATGGCACCCTCGATATTTCTTTACTTTATTCGATAGAAAATGACACTCTGAATAGAATGACATATCATATGTCAACTTTTGACATTTTCACATATCGTTTATTTGAAGTTGTAACAGGCGGTTCATAACGACAATTGAACTCGCAATACCAAGTGTGTGGTATCAAATTACTCGTAAAAAAATGCTTTTTCAAAATATGCTAATGGGCCACCCTCGTTCCATTTGAAAAAATTGAGATATGATTAAAAATACGATTTGGACATCTTTTAACCGGCCAGGGCAAGATACTAAAAACATTAGACGATCAAATCTATTTTTCCAAGGCTCCTTGATTAAAAATTAGTGTTTTTAACACAGTCATGGCACTCTAGATTGAAATTTAAAATACAATTTGTTTTTTAGCGAATATGTCAAAAGTTGGCATATGATATGTCATTCGATTCAGATTGTCATTTTCAATCGAATAAAGTAAAAAAATACTGAGGGTGCCATTTATAAATCAAAACTTGTAGTCATATCCGGTGACCGAAAACAATTGAATACGTCAGTCAATCCCAATATATGTCATATACTAACGTACCAAATCTCGTTTTTTATCCGAAAAAATAAAAAAGTTATAGGGGTGCGCCACTTTTGAGACGCACCCGGTATATAACTAAATCTTACAAGCCATTAAAACTATATTTTTGATATTTTGTACTATGTCAACAATTTTATGACACGTACGGAGTGTCTCATTTTAAGTGTAAATGAGAGTTTTCTCGCTTCTTATTAAAAAAAATTATAGCCTTGTCGATTTCACGGACCTGAGCTATATTTATTTTGTGAAACCTAAGATGGCACAAACAAAATTGCCAAGACCCCCTTAGTTTACATGATACAGGCTTAGGGTTGGGTAACAAGGCGTAGAAAATTAATTTTCTAAGTGTATATAGAAAAGTGTGTAGAAAATGTAGAATATTAAACAGAAAATGTATAAAATCTGAGAGAACAGGTACAAAATTAATGTTGAATTGTGTCTGGAAATGTTCTATCCATTTTTAATCTTTCTATAATCAGTGTTAATTTTTGTGTCAATTTCTCGTAAATGACATCTCGGCATTGATTGCCATTCCCCAGCTGTCTTCGACGCCGTTTTTTTTTCGATCATAAGGTATAAGTGTGTGCCACCATACCTACATGATGTCAAATGTCGAATGTAAAAAATCTATTCGTTTCTTCTATACCGGGTGCGTCTTAAAAGTGGTTCACATATATTTTCTTTTTTCCAGATAAAAAAACGAGATTTGGTATGTTAGTATATATCATACGTTAGGATTGATTGACGTATTCCATTTGTTTTTAATCATTTCCTGTTTCACCGGAAATGAGTACAACTTTTGATTTTTAAATAGCACCCTTTGTATATTTTTACTTTATTCGATAGAAAATGACACCGAATAGAATGACATATCATATGTCAACTTTTGACATTATTGTATATGGTTTATTTGAAATTGTAACACGCGATTAACAACGACAATTTGACTCGAAATACCAAAAAAAAGTGTGTGGTACCAAATTATTCGTAAAAAAATGCTGTCGTAAATCCAAATATGCTAATGAGCCAGCTTTGTTCCATTTGAAAAAATTGAGATATATGATTAAAAATACGATTTGGGCATCTTTTAACCAGCCAGGATAAGACACGAAAAACATTAGACGATCAAAACTATTTTTCTAAGGTTCCTTGACTAAAAATAGTCTTTTTAACACAGCCATGGCACTCTAGATTGAAATTTAAAATATGATTTTTTTACAAAAATGTCGAAAGCTATACATATGATATGTCATTCTATTCAGAGTATCATTTTCTATCGAACAAAATAGAAATATACCGAGGGAATAATTTAAAAATCAATTTAATGTAGTCATTTCCAGTGAAACAGGAAGTGACCTAAAACAATTGAATACGTCAATTAATCCTAATTTATGTAATATACTAACATACCAAATCTCGTTTTTTTATCTGAAAAAATGAAAAAAAGGTAAGGGTGAGCCACTTTCGAGACGCACCCGGTATAGGTATATTTCTTATTGACAATTTTCATAAAATACTACTTGAGAAAAAAAAATAACAAAGACAATAGTTACTCTTTCATTGAACTAATCTAGACGATTTAGACACTACAAATAAAAATTAATTACTTTGAAGGGAAGGTAGCAAATGTCAGCAGAATTATTTTGTATTTGTTTTGAAACCACCTGAAATTATTCGAAACATTTAATTTCTGATGTAAGTCACATTATACTTGCGTCTTGCGTATAACAATTAAGTAATGTTTTCAAGATAACAATTAGTCTGTAACAAATATTAAATCTGAATAAATAATTAAGTTTAAAAATTAAACAGGTTACGTTATGTGAGTCATTTATAGAAATTTATCTTTTAAATTTCTGATTAAAAAGAAAATAGAAAAATAAATGAATAAAAGTCAATAACCTACGATATTTCAAGAAATGTTCCTTAATTAAGATTGTTTGGCGAAATAAATATATTTCCATGTTATCTGTATATCTAAAGTCGAATACATCCAAAAAATAACCGAAAATTTCATTAACATCTGAATTAAAATGACAGACAACTGTCACGTCACTGTCAAATGTCCTCTTGTTGGACACAGACTATACAGGGTGGTCCGAACAGTATTCCGGAAACTTCGGCAGCATATTCTGCAGATAAAAATAAGTAAAAAAGTACGTATAAATGTATGGCCCAAAATGCTTAGTTTCGGAGATACAGGATATTTTAGAAAGTCACAGATATGTATATTTTTTTACTCGGTAGTTTTATACAGGGAAGGACAAAAAGTTATTACGCTTTAAAACAGTTAAAACACATGTAGGTGGCGCCCTCTACTAGTAGGAGTCATATTGACATCAAAATCAAATTTCTCATGTCAAAAAACTCCCAAACACTAATTTTCATCCAAATATTGACGTTACTTCAGAAATTATTTAGAAAAAATCGAAATAAAAATGAACCTTCTACACCCTGTATCTCTGAAACTAAGCATTTTAGGACATAATACATTTATACGAACTTTTTTACTTATTTTTATCTGTAGAATAAGCTGCCGAAGTTTCCGGAATACAGTTCGGACCACCCTGTATATATTTTTTTATAGATATCTTGACATTTAGACATCTTCCTCAATTAAGTAATAAAATGTTTATTTTTTTTAGATAAATCCAGTTTTTTGTTAAAAAATTAAAATAAACTTTTTTAATTACAGTCAAAACGTTGTGGTGTGGTACACACATGGATGCCAATTTTCTTATCTCAATATTTGTTAAAAATATCACAATAATGTAAACACCGTGAAAATCCTTTTGAATCATTAACAAATATTTTTTTTGGATTTAAAAAATGAATTATAAAGTTCTTATCAAAAACAACCGAATACGCTTTTGATGTACAGGCTTGGTGCATTCAGTTGATTTCAAAAAATTACGACAGCAGCGCTGTATACGGCAGAAATCAGAAGTTTTCACTATGTATTTCACGCCGTCCCGGTTACAGTTCACGTTGATCGCATTAAAATAATATTAAAATCGTTGATTTGTCATAATATTTAAGTATTTTAGAATTTTGTTAGTGCAGTTATTGCAAACTATAAAACACTCAGCTACGAGGTTTGTGTGATGTAATGCTGATTTGGGTAGTAAAAATTAAGTGAAACATAACTCGAACTAGGTGGCGCGTTGCGTTCTGACAACTTCAAATGTTAATAAAATTGCCGAAAAAATATAACAAGTAAAGGAGGGCATAAGTACGTGGTTGTTGAGTGCAATAACATTCAATAACTCAACTTTCCCGGATATTCAACTCCCGAAACAACATTGTATAGGTTCATAGTTTCTCACACCGATTTGATCAAAAGCGAAAATGGATTGAAGCAGTTCGACGAAACAAGTGAGTAAACAAAGTGCCCATTACGTTATCAAAAAATTAAATAGACATACTACTATAAGAGGATAAAATATAATTTGCAATATTAATGGTAACTCTTTTTTTAATCAACTAGTGCTTAAATTTTTTATTCTTCTAAAATTATAATTATGTACCTTCGACAAATTTCGTTATAGCCGAAATAGTCCAAGTTATGTTCCCAATAGCAAAACCTGTGCGTAAAACTATGCTCGCTACCATAGCTGAACTCATCTAAAAAGTTTTATTATCTTCA